GGCAGCGCTCTAAAAAGTGAACAGGTGGCGTACCAGCTTTGTCGGCCACGTCGGCGGCTGTCAGGTTCTTGGCGTTGGGTCTGATCCTGAAGGTGATTGCAGGTCCGACCACACTGCAGAGAGGCAGAGAACGAACAGCGGGTGAGTTTTACACTGAATTAAAACACCAGCTGAACATAAGTTACCTAATATAATGCCTATTAATAAGAATCAGTAACATGTTTTTAATAGTTTGTGCAACAGGAGAACAAAGAGCACTTTTACTTTTTACAGACACTTTGCAGAAATCTCCTCAGGTCAGTTCTTCTCTAAACGAGTCTCATTTTCTTCTAAGAAGCGAAAATCTGCAACAGCGTCCTCAATATTTTCATGTTTAATTTAATTTAAGTAAAAATGAATGTTTACTCATTCTAGAGCAGCAACCTGCTCTAATATTTACTTTATCCAGATAAATGGAAACGATTTTAATATAATAACGACTCTTTGAGATGTTTCTTTGGGATGAACTCAGTATTTTGCTTTCAATTTCATTAAAATTACTTACAGTTCTCCTGTATGTGAGGTACAGCGGCGTATTTTTGTGCATATTAATTTTTTATTGCATTTATTACTTCTTTAATTGAATGGGTTTTTTTCTGTTGTTCATTGAAATGTCCTGAATAAACTGTAACTGCTATTGTTTTATTAAATCTTGTGAAGACATGGAGTTTATGCCGATGTTAATAAAGATATCCGCTTGGATAAGAAGGAGATTTCTGCAGGCCGGAGCTTTCTGCAGGGTCAGGAAGAAGGAGGAGCAGGAGGAGAAGCAGGTCAAAGAATCACTTCCACGAGCAGAAAGTCAGTGCAGCTCGCCGTCCAGCTTCACCAGGTCTGGGGAACCTCATGAACCAAAGAGCGAGGATCCAGAGGCTGAAGCCAGAAAGCACGTCGCCTTTTCTTTCAGATTTTTCGTTCTTATTTTTTGTGCGGGTTGAGGAGCAGCGACGTCCTTGCTCCTACCTGATTCTGATGAAGGAGTTGGTGGAGAGGCCAATCCTCTCCGACAGCAGCTCCAGCAGTCGCACCCCGTCGTTCAGACTGAGGGGGCTGACAAAACACACACACATTTAAACACACACATGAACAGACACTCTCTCACACATACACACAGCAGTGTTCAAAGATTTAAAGAAGACCTTTGACCTCTGAATCTGAGTCCATCTGACAGTCACTTTATCAGCTTCTGCTTCTGATTTCCTGATCTGAGCTCAGGGTCAGCGCTTTTACTTTCTTCCTGTACTCCTTCGTTTGCTCCCTCCTTCCTTCCTGTCTTTAGGTGTCTTTCCTTCTTTTAATTTCAATATCTCAGTTTCTTTCCTTTCTTCATTCTTTTTAATTTCTTACCTCCTTACTTTTTATTTCTTTACTTATTTTATTCAGCCTTCCTTACTTCTTTCTATTCTTCTTTCCTATAGTTTTTTTCCTTGTTGTTTATTCAACACAGTTTTCTCTGTTAATCCTTTTGGTTTAATTTCTGATGACATACATTCCCCTCTTTCCTCGTTTTCCTTTTTCCATTTTTTAATATCTCTGTTTCTTTCTTTTCTTCCATTTTCTTTCTGTCAGTTCTTTTACATCCTTCCATTTTCACACTGCTCTGTGTTTATTTATTTCCTTCCTTGATTTTTTCATTTCCTTTATTTCCCTCCTTGTATGTACAAGTGTTTCCTTCCTGCCTTTTCTTCTTTTAGTCATCAGTTCCTTCTTTGCTTCTTTCTCACAGCACAGAGCAGTTTAACCACTTAACCCTTTAAGACCTACCATAGAACCAAGTCCGCCAGAGTTTATATTATATTTTTACATGCTGTGGAGCCATT